GGCCTTGACGTCGGGCACCGCCTCCCCCGGCCGCCCCTCAAACACCTTGAGCGCCGCGAAGAACAGCGCCATGCCCAGCGGCGTCTGCAGGCCCTGGTCCAGCAGGACCTTGAGGGCCACCGCCAGGGGGGAGGTGGGGGCGGACGGCACCACTGTCGCGTCCAGGAACTCGTACCTGCCGGCCGGGGGTTTCGACACGGGGGCTTGAGGGGCTCGGGTTGAGTGCGTGAGAGGCGCGCGGTCCGTCGCATGCAATGAGGTGCGCTTGCACATGGACGGGTGTGCAAGGGCAGTGGGGGCAAAAAGGCAGTGGGGATGGGACCCCGTTGCCACCAGCCGCAGGTGGGCGTGCTTTGGGGCATGGCAAGGCCGGGCGGTGCGCGGACAGCCGGTAGCGCGGCGCCTCACCAGTAGTGAGACAGCGGCGTCCCAACCAGCACGCTGAAAGCCACCAGCCGCGCGCACCGCGCCGCGTCGTACTCAAAAGCGCCGCCGCCGCCGCCGCCGCCGCCGCCACCGCCGCCGCCCGACCGCCGCCTCTGCTGCTTGCGCTGCGCCGCCGCGGCGCCCTGCTTGCTGAAATGCGCCATGAACTGGGCCAGCAGGTCACCAATAAAGGTGCCCACGACGCCAGTGGCAGCCTTGGTTTGCAGGGGCGCCTGCGCCAGCGAGCTGCAGTAGGCCTGCCACATGCCGCAGAACGGCGTCTTGGACAGCCAGCCGCTCGGGACGGCGCCACTGTGGTCGCGGTGGGCGAGAGTATCATAACAGGGTTGCTTTCAGCGCTGGCAGGCTGGGAGCGCGTAACACCTTGGCGTCAAAATTGACAAACATTTTCAGGTTCAGGCACAGGCTGCCGTGCGGAGCTGCCTGCTGGGCAAAGCGTAAACCCGCAAGGCGCCACTGCGGCCCTGCCCGCAGGCGTGCATACAGCGCCCTCGCTCCCGCTCACCCGACCGCGGGCATGCTGCTCTCCACCAGGTTGGCCCCTTGAATGCTCTCGCTGACCGCCACCTTGAACCCTTCGACCACCGCGGCCGCCGACGCGCCAGGCGCCGGCTGCCCCTCGCCCCCTGCCGCCTGCCCCCCAGCGAGCTCCTCTGCCGCGGTGGACAGCTGGCCGAGGTCCCCTGAGCCGGCCGGCGACAGCGCCGCGGCCATGACCTCGCGCGTCACGGCGGCTGTGAGGTCTGCGGTGGCGTCGCTTGGCAGCGGGGATGCGACGAGCGAGGGCGACGCGAGCGGCGGCGCGGCGGGCAGCTGGGGCGCCGCGGAGAAGACGTAGTCCTGATCATGGGAGGCTGGCGGTGTGTCAAGCGGCACGGAAAGGGCTGGGGACGGCGGCAGCTGCACAGCCGCGAGCTCAGACGCGCCGCAGGGCGGGGCACTGCCTATGAGCACCGCAGCCGTTGCCGCTGCCAGGGCTGCCGCCGGTTGCCAGAGGCTGGGGGACTGCGCAGCATGATTGTGATGTATGGCAATGAGCGCGTGCATGGGCGTGGTTGCAGCCCTGATGCAGATTCGCAAAGTGGTGGCATACAGTGCGGCACCACCACGGCGGCGCTCATGCCCTTGCTTCATTGCTGTGCACTGCTTGGCTGGCGCACCTGTGCGGCATCCTGCTCTGCGGCAGGTGCGGGCACTGGAGCTCTTCTCCTCGATGCACGTGGGGTGATTACTCGTGCTCTGACGGTCAGCTGCAACTGCGGGCGCTGGAGTTTCAGACCAAGCGCTCTGCAAAAGCGAGGAACGCTGCAGAGGACCATGCTGGGCTGCAGCGCTTATTTTTATCGCAACTATAATGGCTTATAAGATGATGTTTCTGTGGTCGAGCTCGTTTTGAGCCACTCGACGGGCCTCTATGGCGGATGGACCGGCGGTTGTGTGTGAGGTTCGGCAGCTTTATGATCGAATACTCCTTCTTTTGTTCTCAGATATCGAAAGAGCTGGCGGAAAGGCCGCTAGCCACACCCCTGCCTTCAATCGGCTAGGTGCGTCTGGCGGACCCAATACGGCGGGCACACCCGCGAATCCTTGTCAGGACGCAGGCCGCTGACACCAGCGGCTCACCATGTTGCAGGGCTAGCACACTTATCCAGCACATCAAGCTTTTTGCGACTAGCTTGGTGGTGTTCATCGCACATGCGAAACTGCTTCACAGCCTTTCAACCGCAGTGCCAGCTCCTGTCACATACCCTGCCGGCGTTCCTGCTTGCCTGCAGCTACCCCCTCACTGGCTGCCCCGGCGCCTCCATGTCCACATGAGATCGATTGAAGCAGCAGTTACATCGCGCTCGCAGCCGTCGAGCGCCCGGCGGCCGCTCACTTGCGGTCGCTGCGCTCGCCGCGGTCCCCGCCGCGCTCGCCGCCGCGGAACCCGCCCTTGAAGCCCGGGCCGCCGGCCGGCGCGGCCACCTGCGCCACGGTGACGCCGGGCAGGCCGGCCATGTTGATGGCCTTGAGCATCTCCAGGGTGTCGCGGTCCACCTGGGCGTTGAGGAGACCGGGCGGGGCGGGGCAGGGTGGGGTGGGGAGCAGCGACAGGGTTGAGTGACGGGTGTGGGGCCGGGCCGCAGAGGACATGAGATGCGCGACAGTGCAGGGAAGCACGCTGGATGCGACCACACTCATGCACAAGCAGACCGTTGACAAGTGGTGAGCGCAAAGCGCCTTGCGCCACGCTGCCATGGGCTTGCTGCTGTCTTCGTCTGATTCTTGTATATCTTTGGTGCGAGCCATAATTGAGCCGCGCAACACAGCGACGTTGCCCGCAACCCCTGGATGCCAGGCCGCAGCTGCACCACAGCACCATGGGGCGCCGCGCGGAGCACGATAACCGCAGCACTGGCTGGCTCGGTTGCCCCCTCTGCCCCCGCTGATGCAGCAGCGTAAGCGCCGCCGCACCTCGATGTTCTCGGTGTTGACAGCGGACTCCTCGGGGACAAAGTCCATGCGCCTCTCGCGCTCCTCCTCCTGCAAGACAGGAGCCAACCAAGGGCGGTCAAGGCTCGCAGGGCCCCAAGGCATCACTGCGCAGCACAGCCTCACCACTGAGTGCACCGCAGGCAGGTATGTCAACTGCACTGAGGCGATTCCATAACCAGCTGATGCACGCCGCTGTCGACGCCGCCACCAACGCCAATGCCGCCGCTGAAGCCGCCAATGGTATGACAGGCCGTGCGCAGCACAACGCTGCGCAACACTGCTCGGGTGCTGGCGTCCTCGCAGCTGTGTCGGTATCAACAGCATGTCCACATCCTCCGTCTGGTATAGCTGTCTGCTGCAAACGCTGCAGCCAGGCAGACAGTCGTTGCGTCCCGATCGCTGCCCGCCTCAAACAGCGTCCAGCGCCCGAGCCATCTAGCGTGCTGTGCGCGGCTGGTCAGCTGCTGATGACACAGCCGCTGATGCAGCTGCGACCTGATGGAACTGCCGACGCTGGCACATGCAAACAGCAAGCAAGCAGCAGGCGGCTGCACACAACGCAACCCCGCCTCCGCCCTGCCACTCAAGGGGCAAGCGCTCACCTGCAGCTTGAGCGAGATGCCGCGCACCGGGCCGCGCTGGATGCGCTTCATCAGGTGCTGCAGACAAAGCGGCGCCAAGGCGAAGCTCGTCAGCGGTGCTGGTCAGGCCGGCACTAGCGGCGGCGGCAGCAAACACTGTGTGTTGTGGCACCAAGCCCGCCAGGCACCCTGCAGCCGCGCGCAGGTCGTATGAGCGGCCTTCCACACACCGTGGTGAAGCCGGCAATCTTGTTGCGCAGCCTCTTGCTCTGGATGATAGCGATCTCCTCGCAGACCCGCTTGTTGGTGTCGAAGTCCTGGGTCAGGCGGTTGTAGTACTTCTCAATGATGACCCTGGAAGCCTTCTTCACGGTCTTGGTGCGCACGCGACCCTGGCGGAGTGGTGTGCAGTGCAGTGCAGCAGGAGCAATGGGTGAGGCACCCGCTGGGCGGCCTTGGCAGCAGTCCTTCTGCTACACATAAGTTGCGTTATGCGGCTGTCGTGCTGCACGCTCTCTAAGTACGCGGCCTCCAGTCGCCGCCCAGGGCGTACCATGGCTGCTGCGTTGCTGCTCCCTGTGTGAAAGCTCTAAAGCAGGACAAGCAGCAAGCTGACGCCTGGCGAAAGGGCGAACAGTGTGTTGCGAGCAGCACAAGGCTGGTGCACACAGCAGTTTCACAGGCACTGCAAAGTGCAGCACACAGTCAGGTCCTTTGGCGATCGCTGCATCGCCTTTATCGCGCTTGTGCCTTGAGGCGATCGATTCTATCATTTCTCAGGCGTCCACGCGAGTGCAGGCAGCGCGCCACCAGATCACAGGAACACCAGCCGCCCTCCAGGGGCTCCGGCAGCCATGGCTCAGCATGAACTCTCGCGCACGCTTAGCAAATACCTAGACAGGCACCTGATCTTTCCGCTCCTGGAGTTCCTGCAGGACAAGGGCATCTACGCTGAGGACGACCTGCTGAAGGCTAAGATTGCGCTGCTGCAGAAGACCAACATGGTGGACTTTGCGATGGACATCCACAAGGATCTTTACCAGACAGAGGACGTGCCGCCGGAGATGACAGAGCGGCGCAGCGAGGTCGTCGGGCGTCTGCGCCACCTGCAGAAGGCCGTCGACCCCATCATCGCGTGCCTCTCCAACCAGAATGTCATCCGCAACTTCCGGCAAGACAGGTCGTTCAATCTGCAGTTTCTAAAGGAGGAGTTTGATATTGGGCCGGAGCAGGTGGACGCCCTGTACCAGGTGTGTGCGCGCAGCGCAGCATTGGGGCGTCACTCGGACAGCTGCGGCTGTCGTTGCTGCACAGCTGAGCTTGTGGCATGACGGCCTGCATGGCGGCTCGGATGTACTGAGGGCAAGAGAGTGGCACTGACAGCCAATGGACTGCCCAGCCTCGCCTGCAGCCGGCAGCTGGTTGGCAGCCAGGACCCCTGCTTTTGCAACGTCATCTCGGCAGGGACTGCAGCATGCCCTCGGTTGCAGGGCAAGCCAGCTGCAGCACATACCACCTGGGTCGAACACTGTGATCTGCAGCTGTGGTGCCCCGCCTCTTTCAGGGGCACCGAGGGCAGCTGCAGCAGGATTGTGCCACGGCCGCCCCCGCTGCGCTCCCGTGCAC